GTTCGCAATAGCATTCCGCGACCTGGACAGAAATGCCTCCAACCACTTTGCCACCCGCCGCCGACTTCGTCCGGCGCCAGCCATCAAAGTAGTCGCGCGCATCTCGAGTTCACGCAACATCACCCTCTCCCGGGTCGCGATCTCCTTGTGAGCATATCCCCTTAGACAACGGTCAACCCGCACAACTAATTCCTCCCGCGTGCAATCTGCCGCTCGCCGGTTGCGGTCTTCAACCTCGGCCAACTGTAACTCCGCCGCCGCCAGCTGCGCCCTCAATTCTTCGCACTGCGCCAGGAGTCTTTCCAGCAATTCCTCATCCGCCCTCCTCGCTGCCTCGCTCTGCTCTAACGCCTGCGTCTTCCGCACGAGCTCATCCGCCAGATTGAGGATTTGAATTTGCTCAACACTGGAGTCCGTCTGGACCTTTGCACGCAGCTCATCAATTTCGCGCCGCGCATTCGCCACCATCTCATCTCGCAGCTTCAGCACCGCCTTTTGCAGTTTCCGGGCTAAGGTCCATTGATCATGCATAAAGTTATAGCGCTACTCCAAGTTACGGTACTTCTGATCTTGGGCAATCAACTCAAGATTCGCCGCCACTTTGATCCGCGTCCGATGTCGGACCAGCTCAACATAGGATCCACCCTAACGGGAATCCCCGTTCTTGGCCGTCTTGCAATCAAGGTACCAGAGTATCGGTACCACCTGCTCACACAGCACTCCGGTCGGCGTGCCTTGCACCGACTGCACTTCCTCTTTCTCCGAAGGCGTGTCATCTTTTGACTCCAGATTTCTGTTGCGGCCAAAATTCTGGGAGATTCTCTAGCGTTGGGCCTCACAGCCTCCTCTGCTGCGGCCAACACTCCATGTCCTGCCAACATCTCCAACGGGGTGGAAGAATCTACCTTAGTGGGAGCAGCCAAATCCTCTCACTCTTGTTCCGCCAAAGGTAGCTCGGTTGCTCCCTTTGCCGAAGGCACAAGTGTCCCTGCATCCCTGCCTTCGGCCGTAGGGATGTTCGCTGAGGGTTTCAGCGCCGAAGGCGCCTCCTCCGAAGACACCTTGAACATCACTTGCCCCGAAGGCCCTTGAGCCGAAAACGCTTGGTCCGAAGGTTCTTGCTCCGAAGGCGTTTCTTCGAACGGTACTTGCTCTGAAGGCAAGCACACCTCTGGCGCAGGCACTCTTGCCGTCGCCGCCAGCCTATCTCTCTGGCCTGAAGGCCTACGTGCTTCCTCCGAGGGCACATGTGCCTTCGGCGCAGGGAGGTCAGTCGACCTACAAAGAGCTCATGTAATCCCATCTTCCTCATATGAGGAAGGCAATCCCTTTGAAATTGCAGCTCGTTCCGTATCAGCGCTGCTGCCCGCGGTCAAAATCAGCTTGCGGGTCTTCTGCTTCAGTCGGACTTGCTCGGTGGTCGCCCGACGCCTCATTGGGACGGCGAGCTACAACCTCCGGGCTGACTCTCACTCAGGTTTAACTCTGATGGCTTTGCGGTAGCGCATCATGGTTCTAGAAGACTAGGTTTCATCCTCACACTCATGTCCCAAACACCTTCTCTCACAAACTCTCCATGTATCACTCCAACTCACACACAAACTCTCCTCACATCACTCTCTTCACATAAACGCAAACACACGTCGATACTCCAAGATACTCAAAAACTTTATTCCTTCATTCATGAAAGAAGTCCTCACACATAACTCTCTAAACTTGCTTGAGAGGTGCTACTCTAACTCTCTATTTATATTAGTTGAGAAATTACCATGGTAACATGTGGTAATTTCTCCTAACTTACTTTTACCTAGGTAAATTTGAATAACTCACTATATGTGGCAACATGCCATTGGCCTACCTAAACCTTCTAGAATTCTCCGGAATCCGATGTTGAGGTGACGACATGCCATTGGAAGCTCTAAAATTTCTACAAGCTTCTTAGCCAACAAGTCAACATTAGACTTAGCCTAGCCAATCATCTTTTATATATTGAGTCAAACAAATCAAATCCAAACTTCTAGTCAAATATCTAATAGTTTGGAATGTAGAACTTTTGTATAAGACAAAATAGAAGTGCTCACTCCTTGTAAAAGACAAAATAGAAGTGCTCACTCCACTCTTTAGAACTAAGCTAATTAATCAGCCAATTATAAACATTGTAGCCAAACTTAGTCATGACTAGCTAAATTTAGCTATAACTAACTAGTTTAGTTATAACTAGCTAGACTTAGCTATGCCTTGGCTAATTGTACTTAATCACTTGATCATTTCTATGACTTAGTACATATGTACAACACCCGATCTTACAGAGGGATTCACGCCGTCTCACTTCTTACTCCTCTCCCAATTTCCGCTTCTTGGATGCCTGCGCACCCCGATGCTCTTCCTCTACCCTCAGTTGGGCCGGCGGTGTGATTGCGGGCACTTCGTCAAGGTCTGTATCAACCTCGACATCCTTCACGAACTTCCCCGGATTCATCCGCGACAGCAAGGGAAATTGTTTCTTCTACTCCGCCGTCAAACACCCCATCGATCGATAGAAGTTTATCAAGAACGGGGAGATGTGATTAATCGATCCCCCCTTCTCCTCTCCTGCATGCTGACGCGTGACCTTCCACAAAATGCGAACCCAGTGAATTGGTGTACCCGCCAGCGCCAGCTCCACAAATCCCACTTGTCAAGATGTCATGTAGGAAGTCTTGTGTGGCTGCAAAATTTGGAGTATTGCCACTGCGACATTTCTCTGTTTCCAATCAACGTAGTCACCGGTCTTATACCCGTTCTTGCGCAAGCGGCGATTCTTGAAAAGGCCGTCGAAGGTCGACTCCTCCTCCTTCGAGAGCTGAACACTCTCGCTGTCAAATAAGAGGTCACCCTCGGACCCCGCACATCTCCCCAAGACCTGCTCCCAATCGCTAACTTGCCATCTCTCCGGGTGCGATCGATACCCTCTCAAATTCCAATCTTTCTCGTGCAGCCACTCCCGGACCATGGCCGGACACACCCAATTCCATCCCCACAAGAGAAAATTGAGCTTCACCACTGTCAATTCGTCTCGGGATGCCCGCAATCCGATTTGCGGCACCAGCAGTGGTACCATCCTCAATGGCGCGGACTTGGCTATCGAATTCCTCCCAATTGCTGCTTGCTCCTGCTGTCACTACGCGTCGATAGTTCAGGTAGACGCGAAATTGATAATGCGCGAGTGAGCTCCTTTTCTGTCCATCAAGAATCGTCAAGTTCGACATTCGGACTTGGCAACGGGCAGCTTGAATGCTCATCCGGCGATGAGGTGTAACGGCTTGCTTCCCACGCGCGACTTCACGCTTTGCCGTCGATCGGATTCCCACACTTGTATATTTGACATAATCACGCCGATCTCCGCCGGAGTAGACCTTCTTCCGCGTACTGCAGAAGGCGCTAGTGGCGAAGGCATCTCTTTCAGCCGTAACCCTTCCGCCGAAGGCAGCTCCCGCCGAAGGCGCTCTGCTCAGAGCCCTAAAGCCTGAACCGCCCCCGCCCAAGGCACCTTGACTGCCTTCGGAGGAGACACTTCCTCTCTTCCCACTGTCGTCTCTTATTTGCTTCTTCTTCTGTACCCCTTCTTATCTACAGTCACTTCCACGGTACTTACTATTCCAAAAACGCTTTATTTCCAAAAAAAAAACAAAAACTGTACCACCACATCTTCACACAGTGCAATTTGAGCATTTTCTACCATCATTCACATATTTGTTGTCCAGAAATTTGAACCTTTAGAATATCTAAAAAAGTCCTCGTAGGGCTTCCGGAGGGCTTAGGGCTCCAACCGCATACATAGAAGGCTTCTCGGCTGAACTTCGATCTGAATCTCGAAAAGCAGTGATGAAATTGGGTGCACAAGGTTCGTTGACCCCTATTACATATGCGGTATAAACTCTCATGTTGCGTCTCGTATATGTGTGTGGGTTTGACCCGAAACCCACCCTCTACAAACATAGCAAATGATCCTGATGTTAAAGAGCCTTCCATCTCTCCCCTTGCATTTTCCAATTCGCTTTTGGCTGGCTATCTTGTGACAAGTCAAGTTGAGAGCGCATCGTACTTCTTGACCAAACGCCCACACACGCACCTGAGCAAAGGAGAAGATATTCAGAGTCAAAGTGGGATTGTTCTAATGTAGGTAGTACCTGTGAGAGAAGTCGTTGATTGCAATCAACCAGATTGCTAGCACCCTCGAGTGATGAAGAACCGACTGCAACTCAGTAAAACATGCTCTTCAGCTAACAAAGGTGTAAAGCTGCTTCATGATGTGCCTCCCTTTGCCACATTCAGGTAAACTGGACTGTTCGACTCTTAGACGTAGGTAATATGCTAGTCTCCAGCTTGAGGTACTACTACGGTGGAATTATGAACCCAATGAGCAGATTATATTACACCCGGATCATGGTTACCTCCTTTGCTCCTTTGCGTTGTATTATTGTTGGTCTGAATTGTCTATACACACACATACACAATATCTAAGTGGTGTATCTGAATTATGGTGTTACATAGGCCTTGACATGAAAGTGTTCATCACATAGTGCATCACTGGGATCGTTCAATAGTTTTAAGACCAGCTCGTGTTGACGATTCTTAGTCACAAATACCATGCGGAGGAAACCAGATCTAATGACAAGCTCCGCAATGAAGTGGACTTCGCAACTGCTTGATGCTAATGTGAAATTGTCCTCGATGTATCCGAGTTAGAAAAGGTTCTGATAACACGATGGGTCCACGGACCAGCTCCTGTCCGGAGACGGCGAACAAAGAGGGAAATTCTTCGAAGGAATGACACTCTGTGGGCGAAGGAACCAACGGAAGAAAATCCAACGACAAATTAAGCTTTCGAAACTCAAATTATGGAGGGTGCGGCCCAAACGGCCGAAGGCAACGTGCAGATCAGAGGCGGCGCCAGCCAGCTTTCACAGCAGACAGGCAGCAGATATCGATCCATTCGTGCAGTTGACAGAATTTGTGGGAGATGTCGGGCGGCGAGGTCGGGGCAACCAGTCTGTAGCTCGATGTCCAAGAAGGGGTGAACAGAAGCCGAGCACGATGACGACCAAGGTGCAGAAAGTCGGGCATTGGTGTTCTCAGAACAAAGCTTACTGGAAATTTGCGCTACTTCTCGTTTTGATCAGTGCTCTGATTGCCATTATTACATTCTGCGTGAACGAACTCTCTCTACTGCTCATCAGCCACCCTCGTCACGCCGCTCTCGGCTCGTCCCGGTCGTGGAACATCACCTCTCATCACACTCCCTGATCTGCGCATTCCTTTCCTTCGACGGAGTGCCCGGTTCCCTGATTAACTGTCGGGTGCACATCTGGGTATCATTGCACACGAGGGCAACGAGGCTGACAAGCGACTCTTGTCCATTCATCCAACCAAACGCGGGAGCGAGGGAGGTGGGCAGGGACGGAATGCCTGCCTACCTGCCTGCTGCTCTCGGATGCCATTTGCGGAAGCTAGAGACCATCGAGATTTGACACTGGACTCAAACCTCAAGTTCCATGATCCCACCGAAGGTACTAATAAGTTACGATTTCTTGGAGTTCAGCATTCAGTTTGTCTCCTTGAGTACAGCTGCTCGCCGACCTACTAAACTCTCTGAATGCCTATTGTTTGAAGTGTAGAGAAACAATCGCGAGGGGAGATCTATACTCAACTTGTTCGATATCAGAACGACTCATCAGAATCTGATAAGAGACGTGCAAGTTTGAACACCCGATCGACCGGATGGTTCTTCGACTGAAAGACTGATAGATGAACTTGCCACGGAGATAGGATCGAAACTCGTGACTCAGAATCAAAGTCCACCAATGAGAGGTTTTGTTCAAGGGCCTTCGTCGGTTTGCAGCCATGCTGTGTGACGATGTCCGGTTAGATTTCCGTGAGTGAGTGAGTGGGTGGGTGATTTGATCAATTCGACTGTAAAGTCGTGATGTATGACATTAAGTCAAGAGTGAACGAAGTGACTAGAACTCTCTTCAAAACGAGGACCTCTTTGTGTGTCCTGACGATGAGGACGGTCCCAAAAGGATTTGTGCTCTTCTACCGCCTGCGCGAGAATTCGAAGGTGGCTGCGTCATGAAGTCGAGCAATATACCGTGTGAAAGCTGCGGCCTGATTTCGCCTTCGATATCATAGTCATAGACATCAGACTCAGTTTTTTGCACGGTCAGCTCGGAAATCAAAGCAGCTGCATCTTCAGCATTCCTGTCACGATAAGTTGCGGCGGCCGAGCTCGATGGACCTCGACTAAACTGCTGCAGGCTGGGATCCAGAAAACTCCGAGGCTTTGTCCGGTGAGAGTGCATTCCACTTCTGACAGCGGTCGGGCTCGGAGGTTTGATTACGAGGTTTCGCTGCTGCTCGATGGAGAGGTGATTCTCACCTATTGATGGCGCTTGCAGGGGAAGAATGCGAGGCAGTTGCTCTTCAACATCCTCGTCTTCTCCTCGTCGTCCTCCTTCGGCGTAGAAATTATTGAGCCTAGCATCAGGACCTGGTACCTGGGAAGATTTCCAGCGCAGGCGGCGCTGCTGCTGAGAAGGAAGCTGTCCGGCAACGGTTCTCGAGCTGGACAACGGCGGTCTACGACTCTCCTCCTGTTCCACCTCCAGCTCATGGGCTCGGGGTCGTTCTCCCACTGTATAAGTCGAGCTTCGCGGTCTCGAACATTCTTGCTGCAGCTGCTGGAGGACATAAGGACTTGGAGCTCCGGCATACGTCCGACTGCGTTCCCTCGCTTGCAATTGCATCGTCTGCTGCTGCTGCTGCTGCGAGTGAGAAGCGCCTGAGGAGGTCGAGCTTCCCATTCTGCAGCCTTGATGTCGCTGCTGCTGCTGCTCCTGCCCTTGCTCCTGAATACTACGAATCTCCGTCTCCCTCACGCTCTGAAGACCGTGGCGACGATTCTCGTTTCCCTCGTCGTCCTGGCCTGGCCATGGACAGGACTGGTGCGTGGCACCTGCATACGTCGAGCTCCGCAGTCTTCCTCCTCCTGCTCCTGCTCTCGCCTGTTCTGACTGCGAACTGGTCCCTGCATATGTCGAGCTTCGGGCTCTCGGGGCCTTCGGAACGAAGCTCGCAGGGATCCGAGGACTGACCTCTTGCTGCTCGATCGTCGGCTGCTCAGCTGTGGACTGGACTTGGCAGCTCATCTCTCCTTCTCCTCCTCCTCCTCCTCCTCCGATTTGAGCTGCTTGGTGAGCCATTTTCACCTGTGCCTGCGAGTCCCAGGTACAGCAAGGAGTTCAGACTTTTTCCAGTATCATTGTCAATGCAGCAGCCGGCCTGCTAGCATCTGATTCGGACCGACGGTTGAATCCTTGTGCTGCAATGCGCCATATGTTCGTCAGCGAGACGTTTCAGTATAAATCAACAGGAAGGACAACACCACCACCACACTGGCACCACACTAGCGGCTGGAAAATGCGTTGTCGGATGGAAAATCCACATTTGGAAGATATGTTCAGCGCACAAGCATCGAACAGCTATCTGCATGTTCAACGTAGGAACTAATGCTTCTAGCCAGCCATGAATTCTCGATCGAGTATGTGGATTTGAGACCGGCCGAGGATCGGAATTTGAAGCATTCTACTAGTCTGAGACCCTCAAGACAGAAATGCCAATTTAGTAGGAACCCAGTTTCAGACTCGTGATCTTCAGCCACTGCTCCACCTGCGTCCTGCTGATGCTGCTACTGATCGAGATTTCTTTCAGAGATCCTTTGACAGCGAAGATACCGAGAAGCTCGGCCCTTGAGGCATTCCTCGAAGCAGAGTGGGAAAATACTCATACAGACACCTTCACGGACGAGGGAACGCTTGCTGGATCTGCTCGCGGAACATAAACACGTCCTCCAGCTCCAGAGAGCGAATGCCGCGAGGAAGTAGATCTCTAGGATTATGAAAGGTAGTGCATCCTAGCTCATAAGAAATACACACTCATATGGCTGTGGCCCCGAGGGTTCGTCAGGTTGCCATGCAAGCTACCTCTCTCCATCAGGAATGAACTTGAACTCGCTGATCCATATGACTGTGACTGATGAACGGGATTCAGCAACTGTCTCCTCTGTCCTCGGATTATCAGTTTTTCCTGGGAGGCACGAAGTAAGACTAGATCTGTTCGTGCTGAGAATTCAAGCGTGATCGATTAGACTAAATGAACGCGATCATATCTAGAATCCGAAGCATTTATTCGTGAGGGCAGAGTCCATTGAGATTCATGTTGCTTGTTGTTGGGAACTGATTCTTTCGTCTCCTTGTGAACGTTGCGGTCGTCGTGGACGACATTCGTGGCCATCGTGCAAGATTTCTCATGCTTCATAGATTTTTCGTCTATTGCTACTTCAAGCAAGGTCAAGTGCAGCAGCAGAGGTGACCACAGCGACTGACTGTCTGACTTGTTCAGTACCTTGATTTGATCCGAGGCTTTGAATTTAGAAACCAGTTGAGCGAGTCGTGAGATGTAATAACTCTTCCAGCACTCAGACAATCTCCAAAGGAGCACGAAAGCTCCGAGAGCGAGTGCCAGGATTCCGACACTCATCACCTGACAGAGCAGAGCGCCAAGGAAAACTCTTTACCTTCAGCTGTAAAGCAAAGCTACAACTGCAAACTGTCATTCGTTCATTCATACAACCTAATGATATGCTTAGACTAGTGCACTCAACATTAGACGCACGAGACTCACGAGACCGAGCTTCTCTGATTGGTTGGTCGTCATCGGGTGCACGGGTGGAAACACGGCGCTAGAGTTTAGTATCTGCATTTCTTGTCCGCCTGCTCCGAGCAGGAAACGTTCTCTTAACCGGAACACAAGTGAGATGATGATGATGATGATTACACGTTCGTTTCACCAACTGTAATCACAGTCGCACCGGCCGCACCATGGACCAGGCTCGTTGTTGCTCCTTTTGCAGAGTGCTTTCGTCAGGCAATGACAAGCCAAGTTTTAAGGAATTCTGTCTTTCCTTGGAGGTGCTTCCAAATCACAGTGATAGCATTCATTCATATCCATTTGTCAATGGATATGAATGAAGCCACTGTCGTCGAGAATGCCATCTTCCTCCAACTTGGTCTTGGTCCGCGCTGCTATGGTTCAGCAGTGTGATGAGGTCGACGTTCATCGATGCAAAGGAAGGAGAGGGATCAGTTTCAGCTTTTCGGCAGAGGAACAGAAGGCCGGAAGTCACGACACAAACGGCTGAAGGATCTGGAAAAGCGAGGAGAGCAGGAGGGGAAAAGCTTACAGACTGCCCGCAGCCTCTTCTTCTTTCCTATCCTCACAATGATTTGACCTCACGGACGTCGTCGCAAGGGCCAACCATGACGAAGGACCCAGAGGCTGATCATGCCGATCCACTTCTCCGTGACATCAGCATGAAACTCACTACCTCTCGAGCGACATCCCTCTAGCGAGATGCCTCACTGTCCCTCCATCTCGCCAAACCGGGGCGGGAAGTGGATGCAGAATTGGGACTGTTTCCCTGCAAGCTTTTCCCGTTTGATTCGTTTCCTTGTTCAAAGATCGGCGCAATTGACGTCTGCTGACAATCGTGACGGTCACTGGTTGAGTGAGTGAGTGAGTGATCGGAGTGGACAGCAGAGCAGAGGGTTTTGTCAACTCTGCTACCAGTTTGGACGAGGATGGCGGGCTCCATTGTTGTGGTCTAGAACCGTTGGGCCTTGACGTCAGATGTTTGTGCAGCTTGGAAAAGATTATCTCGATCCTCGACGATTCGCTCAGTGAACTGTGTTTCTGACTCGCAGTCACACGGGCACGTGCGTTCTGCAGTTTCGGGTACCAGCATCTCTCTGGCCCAGGCTTGCTGTCCAAGAGGAGGCACCAAACTGGCGATCTGCGCATCTGAGCCTTGTAATATATTTGTTTGGAGAGCATGAAAGAATGGAATCGATGGAAACTAATGTCACGGTGACGGCCGTTTGTAATGTATTATGAGGGTCAACGGTGTCACCACATCATGCACGACTCGCGAGGAACAATTTATCCAGATTTGATATGTGTGTTTGATTTCTCGTTAGAAAAGGGAGAGAATCCGTTGGGCCATCGGTCTGAACCCGGTACCTAACGGCGGGATCTGGCTGGCGAGTACGAGCTACAGCAGGCTGAGGGCGTAGCACTACATGCCACCTTTTGGACCGAAAATGTCCACCATAGAGGAGCTGGATTGGCTTCTGCAAGCATCGAGTAATTTCGGCAGAATCTTCCGGAGCGAGTGCCATCTCGAATGTTAGTTAGCTAGCAACAGAGTCGGAAAAGTTTGTAATATCGAATCGGAACTCTGCACGGAAAGGTGCCTGGATCGGAAATTCTGCTGATGCATGCGACTGTCGCCATCTTTGTCTTCCCCGTGAGACCACAGCTAAATTCGGGCGCAATTGCGAAGAGATTACTTCCTTGGGAGCCGTCCCGGTGACGTTCAAAAAAGGTCGGCCACCTCGAATCCTAAGCCACGGATCAGATCGATTCCCCACAAAGCAAGCAGATTGATTCCTCCGATCCCCATCCATCCCACGCAATGCAGCACGAGTTTCCTAACCCACCCGCCGACCTAGCCCTGGAAAGCGAGGCCCTCAGCATCCTTACACTGTTTGTTTGTGCGTCATCGTCATCGCGAACCGCCCGTCTACAAACGCAAAGCCTTTTCTGTCATCTCACTGCTGCAGAAGCTTGAAAACCATCACATTTTCTATCTGCATACTGTACTCCTCTGTGCTCCTAATCGGAAGGCACATCGTCATTCCTTCGCACACGCCATCTCTCTCTTCCTCTTTCTCTTTCTCGTCCATTTGCCGAATGCGGTTCGAGTCCTTTGGAAGCCTCACAATGCCCTCTTTACATCTTCAAATTTCAGAAGAACTAAATTCGACAAGCATGGGATGTAGAAAACATTAAATTCATACGAACTCAGCATAGCTCACCATGGCTAAATTGGAGTTGATTGTGTTGTGATTAATGCAACATAGCCATCGGTTACACCAGAATTTTTAACTTTCTAGAATCCATGTTTCCAGCATCTCGAAACTACACACGCTTATGACCTGAAGAATTTAACATGATGTACATTGCCGATTCTTCTTAGTCTCTTTCACGCAATCCTCTTTAGAGATGACATCGTTCATAGGGTCCATCAAACAAAAGAATTCCATCTTATATCACTTCGGCAATCTTCCTATGAAGACACAAAACGTTGGGCAGAAGCCGTTTGAAGCAATCTTTCTCAGTTTTTAATCAAAACCTTGTGTTATCTACATGGTTTTCATAAGCATCTTTTCTAACTCTTATTTTGCTTGAGTCTCTGATGGAGTAACCTTATCAATAGCAAATGCACTTGGAATGGACTCGTCACTTTCATCACGTGAAGTCAGTCATGAAAAAATTTCTGAGCCGAAATGAAAAGATGGAATCTTAATTTTGGTGGAATGAAAGACATCGTTACTCTTCTCTATAAAATGTGTGAATACTCTTCTTTCAGACACCACAATATCAACGTCACGATATTCTCTAGAGAACATGCTTAGGCTTCCTTCTATTTGCTCTGTTCATTTCTCATCTCAGTTCTTGTACTCACACGGTTTGCTTATCCAGTCATTTAATCTAAATTCATAATGGTTTATTTTCATATTATTATGAGATTGGATCATTGAACGGCTTCTCACATCCATTATCTTCATCTCCTCTCATGTTGTAAACTCATTATAACTAATTTCATCTTTTTCACATAGAGCAAGCTATTCTTTCATTTCATTGCAAACGATGGGAACTCTGAGATTTGTGGAGGAGAATAATCATTGGCAGAAATTTAAAAAATGAAAAAACTAAAGGACTATTTACGTCTAGAACCAAATCGTCGGACAATCGTTTCTCTTTTCAATATTAGCACTCTCCTCCACGAGAGGTTAGGTTAACACCCTTAAAAACAGCAAAAATAGAATCAGCCTTAAAAGACTGACAAGGATGAAATCGAGAGAAGCTTTGTAAATGTGGACGAAGTTGCGGCGATCAACACAATGTCCTACGATAAATCAGATGTTCCTTCGGGGAGGAAGATCAAAGACTGACCTAGGCAAAGGCTCGTGATCGAGACGATGCAGGCCATAATAGGACGGTGCCGGGTGAGGCTTGCGCCGCAGGTTGCAACATTCGTCTGCTGCGGAAGAAGCGGAATTCGGTGGCTCCTTGGTGCAATTTCGGAATTGCAGCAGACTTCGAGACTCTAGAGGCGGCCGAGGCGCAGAGAGTGCAGATTTGACCTCGTAGTCACTCCGAATCCCTTCGTGACATGTGACGAAAGGCAGGAGCGATGGCCTCCGCCAACGGCACCGCTATACCGGCCGTTGCTCACGACAGCGTTCTGCGACAGTCGGTGAAACTTGAAGGCAATGCGCAGAATGTCCGAGGCTACGATTTCAATGGAGGTGTTGATTACGACGCCCTGCTCCGGTCTCTGTCGTACACGGGTTTTCAAGCCTCCCACCTCGGGGATGCGATCGACCAGGTCAATCAAATGGTGAGCCCTCTCTGTTTGAAGCAGAATCCCACCTTTGGGTTCTGGCAATTCGGGAGCGAGGAGGATTTGGATCTGCTGATTGGCGGGGTGTGACCGGGAACTCTGTATGTTGTGTGTGTCAGATCGACTGGAGATTGCGAGACGAGCCTGTGGACGCAGAAGCCAACGACCAGGAGAAATCGACAGAGTTTCGGAACAACTGCAAGTGCAAAATATTCTTGGGCTACACCTCAAACATCGTGTCTTCTGGAGTCAGGGACATCATCAGATATCTCATGGAACACAAAATGGTACGTATTGTCGCTAGAGAACATCCTAGCCAGGACTGCATCTTTTGTATCAATAACCACTGATGAGAGCTCGAAGACGCGTTGGCTTTTACATGTCCTCCAGACAAGAGCAGCGTGTGGTGATTTCTTTTTCCTGAACTCAATGCTCTCGCGGCGACTTCCACCTTAAAACCTTGCAGTGATTTTTATCAAGTTCGGAAGAGTAATTGTTGCTTACAGTTACTGGCAAAGATACTGAATCACGTGTGTGACAAATGGCACTTGCAGGTGGATGTCGTGGTAACGACTGCCGGAGGCATTGAGGAAGATCTCATCAAATGTCTGGCCCCTACTTATATGGGTGACTTTGCCTTAGCAGGGGCTCCGCTGAGACAACAAGGGCTCAATCGAATAGGCAATCTTTTAGTTCCAAATAATAATTATTGTCTATTTGAGGACTGGATTATGCCAATTCTTGACCAGCTTTTAGCCGAGCAGGTGAACGAGGTATTTGATCTGAACTCTGCAGTCTGAGAGCTTTAGTTTTGCCGCGGTGGATCCTTTGTCTCTGCAGAAATCTTTTTCTTCTCAAGGTGAAGAGAGCATGAAGAGAATTTACCTGTTTTGATTCACGTGTTGTGTTGCGGAGTGCAGAATGTTCTCTGGACGCCATCTAAGCTTATAGCCCGGCTCGGAAAAGAAATCAACGACACTAGTTCCATATGCTACTGGGCCCAAAAGGTCAGTACCTTTTGGCAACTTCTCACGAGGTCCGAGGGAGGTTTTGGAAAGATCTGAATGAGTTTTCGCTCCCTGCCGTAAGCATACTCTCCAGGAGCCAGTCCTCTGGCAAGGGAGAGATGTTTGTTGATCTTTTTTTTGTGTTCATCTTGGAGCCTTCTGTTTTGGACGAGCAGTCCAAGGCACTTCACTCACAGGCAACATGACTGTCGCTTTGCCACAGAACGATATTCCCATATTTTGCCCTGCAATCACGGATGGTTCATTAGGTGATATGCTCTATTTCCACTCATATAAAAATCCGGGCCTCGTGGTAGACATCGTGCAAGGTACGTTTCACCCTCCGTTTACTGGTGTAGGATTTGTCCAGGTTGTGCCTATTTGTCGTCATATGTTGTACTGTTTATGTGGCCTGCTTGTCAGCAATGTTTTTCAGCGTCGGCGGGACATCGTTGTTTCTTTTCCGATATCTGTCCCTTTCGTGCCAAATTTATGGATGATGCTGCGTATGTAGATGTTAATGGAGCACATCCAGAACGGTTAAACTTCTTGTGTGTGACCACTTGAGTGTGCCATGCAGATATAAGGCAAATGAACAGTGCAGCGGTGGCCGCAAAACCACGAAAGACTGGTATGATCATTCTCGGAGGTGGACTTCCCAAACACCACATATGCAATGCGAACATGATGTGCAACGGAGCTGATTATGCAGTTTTTATCAACACGGCACAAGAGTATGATGGAAGTGATTCAGGCGCTCGGCCGGAGGAAGCTATATCTTGGGGTAAAATAAAGAGTGGGGCTACTCATGTCAAGGTCGGTTCTCTGCTCTTCCTTTCAGCATTTTGAGAACTCATGTGAAGCAAGTTTGCCGCTGTCTTCCTTGAGCAGAGCAGCTGTAAGAATAACTCCAGATTATTCTCATATAATAATTCTCCTCCATGCCGGCGTGAACAACGCTGGTGATACTTTCCCTGTATGTTTGAGCAGGTCCACTGCGATGCCACCATTGCATTCCCTATTCTGGTTGCCCAAACTTTTGCAAAGATCGCTGGCCGACAGCCGACAGCGAAGGAAGCTCAAAACGGTCATCAAGATCTACACTAGCAATGGCTGCCTCACGTGAGGGCTGAGGGCAGGGGAGAAGGTCGCGATAATCCCCAAGTCTCAAATCCCTCTTAGGTGTATTTTAAACTCTGACTCCAGCATATCCGGCAGAGATCGGACATCGAAATAGTGCTATCTATGCAAAATAGATCGATCTCAGAGCATTGGCTGTGAATTATAATATCAGTCTTTGAACGAATCTGTGCTGTCAGTGTTGCCCTTCTAAATTCAGGTCTATTAATGTTTCTTTTGCGGGTGGCCTTACTGATCGTATTAGCACTGATTTCATCAGTGTCTTCTGCATCAGCTTAGCGTGCTACTTTAGCCAAGCATGTATGAAAATCTGTTGAGGAACAAGATTTAGTAAGGCTCTGATGTAGATGCCTCGTCTCTTTATGCTGATAGAGAACGACCTGAAAAAATCAGTGACTCCTTGACCCCCAGCGTCAGATTAGAGTGTAACAAGAGTTCAGAAGATAACAGTTATCTTCTCTCTCGATTGGACGAGAGCGGATTTGATTGTCACTTTATCAGCTTCTCAAGCTGACTCCTAGAAATCATCGGAAATGTATTGGGAGAGATTTGTAAAGAAGCGGCTCTGGCTAAACTATTACATTTCTATCATTCCAACATATATGACCCAATGGATAATATTTTGGTCACATCGGGCAAAGCGCACTTTCGGACTCCTAAACTAGTTGCAAGGTCCGATTCATCTCAAAACTCTTTTAAAGTGGAGCTAAATTAATTCAATGTACACGGATACTAGATGTTTTTTTGGGCTTACGCAGCTGTGCTCAGATGAAATTCGGTAGACATCAACAAGAATCTGGCACCGAGGCATGTTTTAGGCCAGGACAGAATGACAATATCACCAATGTGTCCAAATCATGTCACGTTCTCTAAAAGTAGAAAACCAGCCACTATGAATAATAGTCTTCGTCATGGTAAGAGGAGCTCGATTCACCATTCGAGCCATATCGACCACTCAGAGGGTTGTTACTAAAAACGTGCAGGCATTACTGGACTCAACTCGATATTGTACTACTCTTGGGTTCGCCAGAGCGTGAATCAAACTGTCTGTTCCAGCTTTCGAGACGTTCTCACTCGAGTGAAGTCAACTAGCTTTCTACAGCTCTGATTTGTTGGAACCGTGGATGAGAAATGAGAAGTTTTTGAGCCAATTTTGAATGTAGATACTAAAAGGAATTGTTTCCAAGATTCGTACTAATTAGGCCGAATTTTCGAGAAGGAAAAACGAAAGTGTCCTAACCATCATTCATCACATGAAAATGAGAGAAAGGGGACCAAGTACCGTAGGCTCATACAGATAAGTGCATGTAATATAAATATTTATAGTCTACAATGGACGAATATCAAAGACTATATTTGCGAGTTTCACTACACTCTTATTTCAATTGAATGTGCAGCAGATAATTCCAAGAGATAATCGATTTCCCGTAGTCTCGTGAGATAATCTGCCACTTATATCTTTTTTGGCAGTCCAAAACATTAGAGAATTGTCACGAATTGATCTCAAAGTCGTGACAATTCTCTAAACCTAACCTATTTACTTCACTAGATGACTTGAATACATTTGAATAGGCTACATTGAAGACTCATGGTTGGGGTTATTTCTGATTATCTGATTATGAACTCTGATTATTTCTGATTATTATTTATGATGCAGTACACAATGTGTTTGCAAGTTTCACTAGAATTGGACGCCATAAGTTAGTTATGCATGCCAATCAACGTCCAAACTCTAGATTATCCCAAAGCCACGTGAAAACCCTTTTTTAAATATCGAGGACAGGCGATTTAAGAATAGTGTGAGATCCAAATTTAGCGGAGAGCTCCTCAATTTCTATTGCCCCGCGCGCAAGAAAAGAGATGTCATTTGATATTTTATGAAAGCTTGGGTACATTTCAGCCGAAATGACAAGCTTGGGGAACAGTGAATTTTGCAATACTGAACGTATTTTCTTCGCAGGTCAGATTACAATTGCGGGGATCTGCAGAAGGGGATGCAGACGCTTGGACTGAATTACCACGTGAACGGATCGTGAACTCTATGCGGTTCCTGCACCAACTACAGTCGCGGTCGAGCAGTGACAGAGGAGCTCAGGTTCAAGATGGTACGAAGGGGAGGGGCATTACGCAGTAGGATCGACATGACGAGAGGACGACGAAGTTGGTGGTATTTCTCGTCGGATGACGTCCGCTGCTACGCAGTGTCTGACAGATGCGGAAGATTCTCGGCATGAACTCGGTCATCGAATAAGCGTCACGTCTCGAGTCGACAATTTGAGTTCAAACAACTCGAATCCGAAGGGTCTGCAGAAGCGTTGAGACAGATCGATAGACGCAACTTGAGGTTGCAGATTGCACTTTGAAGATGCGCACGAGGATGAGGAGCAATGGGGTGGCTCAGCATGGTGGGCAATCGAGCATCTGCACGGCATGAACTCAGGGTGCCGTCGGGAACTCGAAGGCCCCCTTGGATTCTTGCCCTGTGCGTCCTGGATAGGCATGGGAGTCGGTTGTAGTCTTTTGGAGCAAGACCTAATAGCTTTGTAAGCGAATTGAAGTGCGTTCAGGGCTCGTTGCCGTGCCATGAGAATTGACGAACTGCCATGGAAGTTGTCGGAGGTGATCTCTTGCCATGGTGCTGAAGGCTTTGTCGTGAATTGGTGTATGACCGTGAATGAGCACCAAATAGCTCGTCTCACTGACTCACCTGGCGTCGGTGACATCCCGTGATCGGTCGAGGTTACAAGCCCCAGGGCCCGTGTCACAAGTGGGCAGGGATGACGGAGGGGAATATATTGGAGAGTTTGGGTTCAGAAATCGTGGGCATTGTTACCCCTGTCTCCATTTGTATGCTGCTGGTGGTACTTCTGGTGCAAAGTCTGGCACCCCATGGCTCGGATGCTCCAGTTAACAGTATTGCCATGTTGGTCTACGACGAACAGCCAACCGATTCTTTCTCTGAGAAACTTGGAGGTGCAGTGCTGAATGCCCTGGTTTTTGTCATTATCGTGGCGATTGTAACCTTTTTACTGGTTCTGCTGTTTTACTTCCGTTGCACGAAGTGCTTGAGGGCATACATGGGTTTTTCAGCCTTCATGGTTTTGGCATATATGGGAGGAGGAGTGGCGGTACTTTTGATTCAAAGTTTTTCGATACCGATCGATGCTGTGACTTTTGCCGTGTTGCTGTATAATTTTGCAACGGTGGGAGTTTTGGCCGTTTTTTTTTCCAAAATGCCAATTTTTGTTACACAAGGATACCTTGTGATGATAGGGGTGCTGGTTGCATACTGGTTCACTATGCTCCCAGAATGGACCACTTGGGTGCTACTCATGGCCATGGCACTTTACGACGTTGTTGCTGTTTTGCTTCCTGGGGGACCTTTGAATATGCTGGTAGAGCTTGCAATTGCACGAGACGAAGATATACCTGCTCTTATTTACGAGGCACGACCTACAACACGTTACATAGCTTCGCTGCCGACTTCGCCCTCCGCAGTTTCACGTAACTCCAGTGCCTCAGGCCCTGCTGCAGTAGCTACTCGGCCTCCGCCGAGGTGGAGACGACGAGTCACCACAACTCCTGTCTCTGGAAATGTTGCGAATCTCGTTACAGGCCAGCCAGCAGCCATCGACATGCCTGAGCCAGCCCGGAACAACGATAATGTTAGGCCCATTGGAATCTCGGCACTCCGGATTGAATCACAGGTTCCAGAGCAGTCAGGCCAGCAACAACAAGGTGTTGGTGGGTTGCTTTTAAACAATACGAACGATCACCAAGAGAATGGACCTGCTGTTGTAGAGAGGTGGACGACGAGGAGAAGCTCTTCTTCTGATGAAGAGGACACAGTGCCACTGGTAAGCTCACAGGCTCAGGCATTGATTCCACCACATTCAACTGTCATTATGGATGGTGTAGAGAGCAGCTTTCCCTCTGCTGCAAGGAGTGAAGCTGTAAACATTGAGGCACTCCTAGAAGATGTTGTTGGAAATGGAGAAAGTGGCGTTTTGTCTGGTGCCATCAAGTTAGGACTGGGAGACTTCATATTTTACAGCGTCCTGGTTGGCAGGGCAGCCATGTATGATATGATGACAGTTTATGCTTGCTATCTGGCCATTGTTGCTGGGCTTGGGTCCACGCTCATTCTCCTGACAGTGTGGAGGCGTGCTCTTCCAGCTCTTCCTATCTCTATCACACTTGGCGTAATTTTTTACCTCCTGACAAGGTTCATCGTGGATCCATTTATGGTAAACCTATCTACGCATTATGTATACTTTTAGGGTCATGTACATAGATCTTCGTGACCATTTTGCCCCCTCGAGATCTCTGGGCTCACATATGATTCACGATGTCCAAGAAGCTACTCGTTGTTAACTGGCAGTAGCCTCTATTTGATGTCTTTCTCGCTGGGGCTCAAGTAGAAATTTACTTCCCATTTGGGAACGGTTGAAGGGAGTTGTGTCTGATCAAAGTGCAAGTACCTTGCAGAATAAACGAAAACCTCAGTCGTACTGATAGAGAGAAAGACGGCTCTGACACAATTTCCGGGAAAAGTCCGAAGCCTATGAGCAGGACTGATCGTGAGAGTATGACTAACGGATGTCAAAACACATGAAGCTGGGATTTATGATGACTACTGAGGTTCCGCCAAAACCTTCTGGCGCTATGAATGTCGTCACTTGCGATTTGTATCGAAAGATTGCACTCTACAGATAGCTGTGAACGCTGTATGAAGAGAGTTTGTCATCTTTGTAGCAGAGTTGTTTCTCATGGACAGTAGCAGGAGTGTAGATGACGTCTGTTATATGTCTGCGGGAACATGATGAGAAAGTCATGTGGTGGATGTCTTTGTTTACCGAACTGCGTGTCAGTGCTTCTTAAGTTGGCTGTGTTCGTAGCGAAAGAAGGCGCCGGATGCTATACGCTGGGATCACTTGTGGATCAGAAAGGTAAGTGGCAGTATCGATCCGACTCTTAAAAAAGTGTCTTTTTGTTATCAGAAATGTCGCCCTGACGATTTTCGTACTTCGTCCGCAGTTTGGTACTTTCTCTATCCTAAATCATCACTCAGTTGCCTTAAGACTGAGTGGTGAGACAGGACATGGTATTTTTGGTAGGTCAGGACTTCATCCGCGTCGGTGATCTATTAGCTAGGAACGAGGAAGTCATGACCAAGCTAGTTTCTCAAGTGCCTGTTGGATTTTTTCACAAAATTAATTCTGCACTTTGAGAACACGCCTTAGTTCAAACATTAGTATTGTCAAGTCCAACATTACCTACACAAAGTTCCATGTTGCGGATAAATCAGTAACTCATGGTAAAGTATGCTAGCTTACTTAAACTAGATCTTTCTCGAGGCCAAAAGACTTTTACTATTCGTCGCAGCATCTGGATTACTTTCTCAGATGATGCCGATGAGATGACCGTTTACACAAAGCCCAAGATTCGACCACAGATTCACTCCCTCAAATGAAGTAAACACCGAAATAATTAAGTGTCTTGTTTCTTGATTTACATCAGATATGGTTGAGAGATTTGCTTGATGGGACCCCAACAAAATGTAAATTTTTTGATGGGACCCATCAAGTTTCAATTTATCTGATGAGATCTCACCGAAGACACACCTTGGGTTAGTTCTAATAAATGTTCTGGTGCGAATATGTTTTAATTCGTGTTACTGCGATGGTTTCGACGGCTTGCCACTAGAGTTTAACAAAATTGGATTACTCTCAATTGCAAGATTTCTCAATCCAATTTCGAATTTATCGAAGTTTCTAGACATTAAGATTTGCACTCGCGTTCAAAAATCAATATGCACAAGCACATTGAATCGAAGAAATACCTTTTGGATTTGGAAACAGTGAGAGAGGGTTCAATGCCACTGGCACTACACCTTCAACCTCCAGTAATTGTAAGTTCTTTCGTAAAATCATCAAGTTTCTGCTCTAGTAGATCTACAGCACAAGACCACCACAATGAAGATTTCTGAGCACATGAATTGTTGTGGACAAATTCATCCTTGAAACAACGGTGTGTTCTTAAGGAGACGATTTGACGATGATGTGTATCGTTTTGTGAGGTCCCAATGGGTAAATTGAAATTTGATGGATCCCATCAAGCAAATCTCTCGTAAACCGATATAAGATGTTGCTTGTCGGACAAACCCATATATCTTTGAGACTCATTTTCAAAAGGTAAATAACATCTTCCAGAAGAAAAAGTGTTGTTTTTTACTTACCATGTACTTTGTCACTGGAGTTCAATAATTTTGATCGGATAATCTACAATATTCTGCATGAAAATGATAATAAAATCAAAGTATACAGATCTTGTTAAAATTGTAGAAAATGTATTTCAACTTTATTTATAATCTTAGTATTAAATAATATAAACATGTCAGTTACTGAAAAACAAAAGTCAGGAAAACTTACACATAGTGGATATGCATTATGCGTAGAATTTATTGCACAAATATGTAGTTGATTAAAATGACCACATAAAAAATTAACCACATGATAAACTATAAGACTTAATAATTAACCAAAAATCTTAACATTGAAAATGTATTGTAAATTGAAAAAAATAATTAAATTTTTTTTATTTGGAATCAATTTGTATTCAAAATGAATTTCTTAAAAAAATTTATAGGCTTAATTCTAATGTTAGAATTTAAAGATATCTTATATTGAGTTATATAATCTCAATTTATATTCTAATAACTATATTAATAATGGAAATGTTCAGTAAAAAACGAAAATTTTGAGAACTAAATTTTAAGCTTAGTTCTCAATTTAATCTATACTATTTTTTAGATAAAATATTTATTCATGTATAAAGTCTATTATATAAATTATAATTTTATTTTTGAATAGTAAAAAATTACAATCAGTTTGATCATGATTGATAAAAATTTCCAATGAAACAGAAAAAACTTATGCCTTATTATGATCAAATAACTAATTTTATTTGATTATAAAAAATGAAATTTGTAAAATTAAATCAACGTAGATGATATGTTGTAAAAGTAATAGATTATTATATCTAAAAAATCATCTCATAATATACATATGTGTATCTTGATACTTGCGCATATCGGAACTAAGAAATCAACTTCGGCTCCACCTTGCTTATGGTGGATGGGTCTCCTTGCTATGCATCACTTCATCTCAAATTTAGCAATTACTTTTTGCTCAATTCAAGGGGGTTGACGATGCTATTGGATCAAAAGTAAGCTATCTTGGATGACCTACTTGACTTTGTTATTGAACGCTTACTCTTGACGCAATTGCAAACTTTAACGCATCAAGTCACTGTTATCAACGATGACTATGGCGTTTCAATATATCATATCCAAGATTTAATCAATGGCATGGATTTATGGACTGACTCTATTGATGACAAATTTGATCCAAATCAACAAAGCAAACTCTAGAACAACATCGCTTCTATTTATGATTCTGCAACAACAACGTGCTTTTCAAATCATCTTCTTTTTCAGCTCTGTAGTACCACATTTTCACAAACTTGTGTGGTAGCACAAGCTATTATCTCCGACAAGCATAAGCTCTTGCTCAGTGCTTAACGATCTGAACTATCCTCAAGCAAAGTATCTATGTGTTCTCTACTGGATTAGTCTTCAAGGAAGGTTGGAGTTTTAATTGGATGTAGATTTTCAAATCTGATGGATTTTTGTGGTATCTTAGCCACCTTATTTCTTGGACTTTGGAGTATTTCAGCACTGTGGAGTCAGATCTTACCGTTTTGCGATGACAAAAGAACAATTTTTGTTTTAAGATAACAAAAGGAAAACTTTTGCAAAAGTTTGTGCAATTTTGGTTTGAAGGGTGTGCTGCAATCGAATTAGTTAATGTTCATTGAACAATTTGACCAGTGATATGCACTCCAAATGCCAAATAAAGCTCACATTTACACATCTCCTAAACTAAGACTAAACAAATGTCTAAATTAAGCTAATTTAGATCATTTAGGTGTCCAACTAGACTAAGCAATCTTGAGTATGACATTTCTTTTACTATTTGAAATTCAAGTGTAACAATATCATTGCAAAAAAATGTCAAACATGTTGTATGATAATCTTGCTGATAAGTTTCAAATGAAAAGTTTTGGAACAAAGATTCAAGATCACATGTGTTTTGTGATCTTGTAATTGATCTTCAGAATATTGATGAGTAGATAACAGATGAAAAAAAAATCTTTTCATTTATTTGGTTTATTGTTTGACTTCTATCAATCACTATCACATCATGTGTGATAGACAAACAATCACTTATAGGAGATAATGATATTGTCATTTCATCTAGTTCCTTCTTCCAATATGACATTGAATGTGATTCAAGATCAATCTTTTTTCTAAGAATCTATAAATTCTTGAATTCAACACGCTTGTCATACTTGTCATTTCTTAAATATTACCAAAATTGAATCACATTTAGTCCTTTATTGGAATAAAAGTACGATGAAGATGTTACATCATCTTATGTTGTAAATCATCAGTTAACAAATCATTTACAACTTTATGTTGATCACACTGAATCAATACACATGAAAAAGATTAATATGAAGCAATTATTGATCTCAAACGATGTAGAATTTTTATTTGTCATTGATTATCTCCGCTCCAAGATTCTAAAACTCAAACACAAGATGATCAAATATGATTTGAATCTTTGTGTCATAAGCCTTCATCTTGAAGCTCATCAACTTGAAGAAAATATACAAATTATTTGACAATTTTTTGCAATGAATATCATAGTATAATTATCATACTCATCTAATTGTTTCAAAACTAAAGTTTGTAAATATTGTTTAACTATGCTTGCAACCTACTCTTGAATTTTTTTTGAATTCTTGTGATTGTAGGTAAAAGGTTTGAACCTTATCATTTAATCTAAATTCTTAAAGTTAGGTTGCTCTTCTCTTTGTCTCTCTCATAGCAAATAGTAATCATCTTCATATTGTGATCTGTCAGACTTTGTGACACCATCTTGTTTTGCCAAATAGTTGGAGTTGTACTTGTGATGTTGAAGAAAATATGTATTTCTTTCACTCATATGTCGCTTTCAAGACTTCAGTTACTTCTAAGGTTAGCTATAAAAGTTTATAGATGTGAACATTACTCAAAAAATGTGTCAAATTGAAAAAAATTTGCAATGGGCCTCATGATCTTAAATAATCAAGTTGAGGTTTTAGTTTTAAGCAAAAGTCCAAGAAATTTCATGCTAGATGGCTGATAGTATTCTTAAAAGTGATGGTTGGTTTGATTGTTAGGATTTTTTAACAACAACTATTATCTTGCCGTAAGGATTTCTTTTAAAAGAAAAAGCATTCTTTGCTGATGTTGTTTTTCACCGTTATGTTTGAAATCTTTTGTCACAACAAATTCATTTTTTATCAACATCCATCTTTTGTTGCGCATCACAGTTGTCACTAGGGACTCTGACCTTAAACTGTCCTTTTTGGGCTTTAAGAGCTTCTTGACAATAAAGACCATCATCATCCTAACAATTTTTTTCACATTGTTGGGATTAAAAATAGTTTTGTCACGCCAAAACTGTTTTCTTATTGCGCGTTGTGACTACCACTAAAATTTCCGATACTAATGGCTGCGACGTATGACTTTGTAATTTTGACTTGGAATTGTTATTTTTTGATTCTAAATAGAATTTAAATTGCTATAATTTCCTAACAAAGAATTTGGAAAAGTCATTCAAAAATTTTATTTAAT